CAGCCAACCTATAGAGGTCAGGGCATATAAAACGTTAGTATTACGATGCTGTTGCACTTTTGCACCCGTTGCACTTTTTAACGGATTGATCAGTTCCTTTCAGTGTATAGATCAGATCAGTGATTGATCAGTGTATTCTTCTTATTTCCTACTACGACCCTGGAATATTTATTTATATTGTATCTATCGATCATATCATTAACTCGTTTTCATCTTGGTTCCTTTGTTCAACCCTTGCTAAAAAATTATAATTGTCAGTCATGTCCCATAGAATTTTGTATGTCGTAAGCATGTCTCTCTGATTCCTCTATCGTCCAATGATTTGAGATTTAATTCCTTTAGTCTTCTCTCGTAACTCATAACTCTCGGCTCTGAAACTAGTCTGTTGGAATACCTTATAACTTGTCTCAGTTTTTTGTTTGATCTAGTTATGGAATCCACACGCATTTGCTGCCCAGTCCAGAACTGGTCTGACGTACGTGGTGTACAAGGTACTGAACGACTCTTTCTGCAGATTTCCAAAGGCTTATGTTTGCGTGCATGTACGGGAAAATGTGTGTACAGTATATGTGTATGTGTGAGTGCATGCATGGAGTGTCATGCTATTGTGTCGTGTATGTGCAGTATAGGTGTATATTTATCTTCTGTATGTGTGTGTGTGTTTGTGTGTGTGTGTGTGTGTGTGTGTGTGTGTGTGTGTGTGTGTGTGTGTGTGTGTGTGTGTGTGTGTGTGCCGGGGAGCAGAGATCGCATGAGAGGTCTGACTCTCGTCTGGTGATGCTGCGGATGACTCCAGTCCCCCCCCCCTCACTCTCTCTCTCTCTCTCCCTCTCTCTCTCTCTCTCTCTCTCTCTCTCTCTCTCTCTCTCTCTCTCTCTCTCTCTCTCTCTCTCTCTCTCTCTCTCTCTGTCTCACACACACACAATTTTAAATAAATTAGAATTAGGACTTACCTCATCTATAATATCTGAATGCCTTCCAAAAAGGAAACCAAAAATACTCGAAAGCCTTAATTTCTAGCCTGGTTAGGCTAGCAAGGGTTCGTGGGCTAGATCATTGTTCTACCTCCTCATCCTTCCCTTCTGATATCAGAAGGGAAGGATGTTCACCTGTTCACCTGTTCACTGTTAACGGTAGACTTCAATTGCAGCGCCTCGGAAAAGGGGAAAGTGAGGCACGAGAAGGAGGAGGAGGTCAATAATATTGTGGATATTTGGTAAGTTCAGTTTACATTATCAAACAGTTTTTAAAATCACTCACTAGTCACTTTGTTTATCCAATCAACATTGATATGAATGTTTCTTATTTTTTGCGATTTCGTGGCAGGATTAATATATATATATATATATATATATATATATATATATATATATATATATATATATATATATTATGCACTCGTTGCCAGTTTATTTACAAATCAATTCAGAGAGCCGGGCATCAAGCGATTAATCACTGGTCCGAAAGTACCGAGCTCTCAAGCGTATATACTCTCCTTTCTCTAGCACTGATCACAGGTTTCTGTGGCCTCCTTCTGTCCTTGGTTGCACCGGTACACACACGCACACACACACACACACACGCAGACACACACACACACACACACACACACACACACACACACCGACAGCTCAGATGGTAGCATAAATCAGAGTAGCAGGAGCTCGGAGGGTCTGAGGAGACGGGGGGTAGAGTAGAGGGGAGGGAGGTGCGTGGTCCACGTGCAGGCTGCTCCAGTCGGGGCCTTCGGGTAGGTCAACTTTATCCCCTGCACTGTCACTGGGGACCTCCCACCACCACCACCACCTGCTGCCCCGGCCTGCACCCCAACCGAACACTCTAACCTTTCTCGTAGACCTTTCTTTTGGCACTTGCTTTCCTTCGGTTGCGAAACGAACTAAAAAAAATCCTCAGTAAATCGTGTGGTACAACGCCACGATCCCTCGCTACAGGGAGCCACACGGCAGGTCTATGCGTCCCGGAGCGCGCGCGCGAACGTCCCCTCACACCGACCCAGCGCGACTGAGAGCTCTTCGAGGGGAAACTTACAAAGAACCCGGCCTCTGGGATGCTCTGCTGCGCATGCGCGGGTCCGGAGCGCCACGTTCAGTTGGTTTTTCCCTTTGATCGATATAGGCATGTCGCCTTTAACGCCGCTGAGGTTATACCCATCGGACGAGAAGGGCACTGGGCATGGTGGTCAAGCTACCCCCTCGGGCATCATAGAGGGAGGGTATGTCAGCATGGTAAGTGATCGTTTTCTGGTTGAGTATCGTATCTCGAAATTCAGTCAAGATAAACTTTCTTGGCTGTTCCTCATCATTGATGTTACTCTTCATCATCAACATCTAGACATCCATCATTATCATGGCTGTCATCATTACTATCATCATCACTATCATCCCCAGAGTTGAAGAAGGAGGAAATGAAGGGGACATGATAACGACATACATGATTATAAAGGAAGCTGTTAGGAAACACAAAAATGTAATGTCGAAAAGAAAACAAATTAACATTTTCAATTCACAGTAAACAGCTACTTAAGGATTAGGCAACTGTTGTGGGTTGCATCCTGGGGATGTCATTCGTTGGCTTAGGTTGACCCACATAAGCCTAATAGGCTTCCTGTCCCTGGCAATAAGGAAACCCATTAAAGTAATCTTCATCAAGTTTAATAATAAATTTGAATTAAACTCGATCCAGGGCCCAAAGAACCAACTTCTCATAATTATATGCAGCACACAAGCATGAATAGTTTTAGTGATCAACAGGACTCCCATATCTATGGTGCGCAAAGAGCACTTTACGGCGAGATGTACATAACCAATAACCAGCTTCACGTGTCGTTAGTTACTGAAACACGTGTCCACGTACCCTGTGGTGGTCATGTTTGTATGTACGTGTTATTAAGTTACTGGAGACCACTTGCTAGATTCCTGATCTCCCAAGTGATTGTTTCTTGGGACCCGCATAATGCGTCGCAACGCATCACTGTAGCGTCAATTATAACAAAATCAGGACGTTCTTGCAAGCTGTCTTGATTTAAAAAAAATATTCCTTGAGTATTAATCGTTTCAACTGACAAAGACGCATTATGACAAATTATGCCAATCTATTATCCATAAAAGACAATGTTTGTCTATCTCTTCGAGGATGGTGGCGAGTCTTGTTAAACTCTGCAGGGTCTTAATCTGGGAATGGTGTGTGTGGGGGTCGAGCCTCACGCCCCGGCCACCCCCTTTTCCATGAAATGACAAATCATGCAAAATTCTAATGTCGCTAAATGCCTGACTACATCCTCACTAAGATCACCGAGATGAGAAATTGGTGAAGATTTGATAAAGATAGTGGTGGTAAATGATTGGGAAGGTCGTGAATAGAAGGGGAAGGTGGTGAAAGGTAGGGAAGATGGAGAAGAGCAGACAGGATGGTGAAGAATAGGGAAGGTGTTGAAGGAGAGAGTAGGTGGTGAAGGAGAGGGGGTAAGATAAGGAAGGTACTTGGTAAAGTGTAAGGAACATCGCAAGGGAGAGGGAAGGTGTGTGGTTTAGATTGTTATAGTGTAAGAGATAATGTGTAGGGAAGGTTACAGTAATGGAGAGAGTGTAAAGTGAAGATGTGGCATCCGTCACCCGAGCAACACCTGGTAACCCCGCTAGTATATATACAGTATATACACTACAAAAAATTTTGTGTGTGTTTGTTTTGTGAGAAGTGTTTTTCATGTGAGGAAAATCTTCGAAACCTCTTTAACGATTGCTTTGAAATTTTGACACAACGTTGCATTCGAATAGGGGCGTGTTTTATATACCTGCTATATACATGCCTCACATGTGACAAGAAAAAACGTGCTTTTTTGAAAAACAGCGCCATCTGTTGTATGTAAGAGCAACACACGTAATCTCCGAAAGTTCTTCACCAATTGCTTTGAAATTTTGACACAACATTCCATTCGAACACGCATAAATTTTTATATGCCTACTACATATATGCCACACAGGTAAAAACATGCTTTTTTTGAAAAACAGCACCATTGTTGCACGTAATAGCAACACACACTCTATACTAAATATGTTACGATTCCATTCCAATGTTTCCAATTGCATTGATAAATTTAATTTTCATAGATTACGATTTATTTTAATTTTGATTTAATTATTTTGTGTGACATTGCATTGGAATTGAGCTGTGTTGTTTACCATACGGTTCATTTTGTAAGTATAAGTATAGATGCCAAACCTGTGACAGGTAAAAACATTCTTTTTTTAAGAAACAATGCCATCTGTTGCACGTAAGAGCAACTCACGCTATCCTGAATATGTTACGATTCCATTTCAATGTTTCTGATTCCATTGACAAATTTAATTTTCATAGATTTTGATTTATTTTCATTTTGATTTAATTATTTTGTGTGACATTGTGTTGGAATTGAGCTTTGTTGTTTACCGTAACGTTCATTTCATGAGTATAGTTAATTTGTTTATTTTTTAACTATTTTTATTTCGTTTTTAACTGTTTTTCTTATATTTCAGTGATGGGAACATCAAATCATTTGATGTTCCCAATTCTCTGATGGGAACATCAGATCATTTTGGAATGCATCGGACGAGGGAGTGGGGAATGGTGCGGAGGACGAGGGTACGGGAGTAGGGGATGGTGGGTAGGACGACGAGACAGGGGAGGGGGGGTCATTGTGGGGAGGACTAAGGGACGGGAAAAAGGGAATGGCAGGAAGGGCGAGGAGGACAGGGGAGTGGGAGATGGTGGGGAGGACGAAGGGGCGGTGGTGTTGGGAATAGTTAGAAGGACGAGGGGGCGGAGGAGTAGGGGATGGTGAGGAGGACAAAGGAACGAGGTAGGGGGAATGGTGGGGAGGAGGAGGGGACAGGGAAGTGCGTTGCGGAGCCACTAAAGGGTGAGATCAGTGACTCTAGTATGCATCTTCTACTTCTTATATATAATTCACTAGAGAAGGAAGTAAAAAAAAATAGTCCCAAAAGTCCATTTTACAGTTATAATTCTGCAGTACTCTTAAGCTGTAGAGATTATATTACATATTGTGTAATAAACAATCATTAGTGATAGTTTACATTACAATGGTATAAATGTCGAGTTTTCATGGAATACTACGTTCATGAGCTGCACTAAATATTGGTCAATGCAAATAGATTTCAGAGTCCCATGAAAGTTGATCAGTGATGGAAAATCTTGACGACCTGGCCATGCTGGTTTTGCACCTTGAAGACTCGGAGGTCAGGAATGGGACGGTCGAAGGGGAAGCCCATAGGACGTTTGTCAGGGTACTTCTGTCCGTGAATACCGCAGTAACTATGGGTGCTGCCATGGTCGTTAACAGTCAGGTCATCTTGGACACCATCATCTCCGCTGGTAATGATAACGTCGAGCCAGAAGTCCATGCCCTGTTCCCTGCCCTTGGGCAGCAGCAGCCTCTGTGGGTGACCACAGCTGCGACTCTCCTTGTGAGGCAGCTCAGCGCCGTTGGCCACAGCCTCGTCAGCGTCGTGGATCAGTTGAGGGAAGGACACGCGGTCAGGGATGGCCACAGACGACTCGGAGGACTTGCGCTTGATTTCGTTGTCTCCCGCATGCACTGCAATATGGTAACATTGGTATTAAAAAGAAATATATACAATTTATTATTATATTAAGTTTATATATACAAATGTACATATTATGTAAGATAGAATGGGCTGTTGCATGAAGAGTAGGGGAAAAAGAGAACTTCATGAAAACACCATTAACATTATAAAATAAGATAAAGTTAAAACGAATTTGGTGCCAGTAAAACTCACCTTCAGTCCAGAAGGTGTCGAGCAAGATAGCTCCCCAGCGGGACTCGTCGATGTCGAGGGTAATGTGGTTCTCATCCTGCTTGGGGCTGATGTAGACGCGAACGGTGACTTTGTCGTCGTGCTCGGCCTGAGCGTGAATGTTGAGGGAGAATGGCTTGTGGTTCAGGCGGGATATGTGGGTTTTGACGGAAACTTCGTTAACGTTCTCTGTTGAGTCAAGAGCATTACTCAGGTCAAACTCAAAGTCTTCGAAGAAAGTAGAGAGTTCACTGACTTCAACACCAGTGATCTTAACATTGCTGTAGAGTAAATCTTCCGCAGTGTAAGGTGGCAAGCTGTCCTTGTGCTCCTTGAAGATATTATCCATGTATTTGTGGAGTCGGAAGAATGCGGGGTCGCGGGTTGCAGTCTCGAAGTGCTCCATGACTCCTGGGGGCATGTTGAACTTGCGTTTGGGGTCAGACTGGGCACCCAAGATGCGGTGAGCTTGGTTATGTAGAGCGCCATAGTAAGCAGCATTGGTGGTATAGGTGGAAGACTCGATGATGTCACCCAAGATATCAATACCATGTTCGTTGTTAATGTCAGTTTTTGTGCCATCGGCGTTGATGATGTACCCGTGAGCAATGGCATCATGGATTCGACTTTCCAGCTCCTTCAAGTCACGAATACGGGCCACACCTACAACATCCTCGAATTCCTTGTTGTCGGGACGAGCAGGGAACTCTCCGCCATATTTGTAAGTTGTGTGGGGAGCAAATCCATCTCTAATTGGGTGGTCCCAGTACAGTTCGTCGACTGCAGGCAGGAAGTTAGAAAGACGCTCAGCGTCGTACCTGGCTGTTAGCTGATGATGAGCCCAGAAGAAGAGCTCTCCCTTGCGGTCGATCTTAGCTCCATCCCACCAGAAGGGGAAGTCCATATGCCAGTGGACGTGGTGAGAGTTGAGGCCAACATCCTCACCGAAGTAGGCCACACGCTGTTCGCGGTTCTTTTTGCTACCTGTAAATTCCATCTTAAAGTTGCCTGGTGTTTGTGTCATCTTAGCAGCATAAGCTTTGTCGATGACCTCAGAGTTTGTGAACAAATGGGGTGTGACCTCATAGAGAGGTGGCAAGACCACATGTGGTGTTAGCTCAGAGTGGGTCACAGCCACATACAGAGCATAAACAAACTCTCCTTCGTTCACGTGCTCACGGAAGTAAGCAGCATTGTTCTTGAAGGCTTCAAAGTCTGCACTGTGCAGCAAGACATCGACAAGCAAGAGGGCTTCCTCACGCTGACGGTCGTTGAAGAGGGAGAACCAGTGATGCTGCTCGAGCAAGCGGTTTTCATCAAGCTCATCCATAAGGTGCTTTATGGCTGCGCCACCATCAGTACTCCTGTCAGTGTGGTCTCTTGGGTTCCATGTTTCTGCTGCCTCTTTTAGGTCTGTGAAACCTGACTGGATGTGGCTGGTGACCTTGTAGAGCAGACGGTTGATGGCCTGCTGCTGGTGGGCCACGTCTGTGTCAGCGGACACAGTGGCCACCAATAGCGCTGCTAGAATCACTGTCCACTGCATGTTGGCTGCCGCTGCTGCTGTGGTAGAGAGCGTTAGTCGCCGTCTCTTATATACCCCACATCTGAGTCCAACTATCAGTTGTCCTATCTATTCTCGCAAGATAAGATGCACTTAGACAGCTCAAACCTCTACCAGTGTCTTTGATTATTGTTTGCGTAACTTCTACAACTGTTGTCAAGAAGTGTATTAATTATTGAGATACAATCATAATTCTTGTCACATCTTTCCTAATCAAGTATAAATGATTGAGAAGGACATTGCTTATATTCCTAATGAGGTGGCGGACGAGGTTTGTGTTCTGTTTTATGTTGTTAGAATTTATCAATATAACAAAGTTTAAATATTTTCATACACTGGATCTATCTTTCTGTTGTAACCATTAGTGTCATTACCAACGTTAAGTCCTTGTTACGGACGAGTTTTTTTTTTTAATTGGACCAGATACTGAAAAAGTTTACAAATTCATTGAATAAAAAAAACCGTTGTCTGTAATATTTTGATGCTATAGCGAGTAGGTCTTATATTGGACATAATCATTTCCTAAAATAAGCTTACCTCAATTAGTGTTTAATTTTTAAATTTTTATCCACATTTTCAGATAAATCAATAATTTAAGTTTTTTTTAACACATACAATTTCTCAGTTTAAAAATAGTTTTAAGAATGTCTGTATAGGCTTCATGGACTTGGACAAGGGAGTCTTCTGAGCACTATATTCAATCATAATTCGAATCACTGCTGAGTATGCAGCTCGAGCAAAAAAGAATCTCGAGCTGAAAGAAAAAAATATTTCAAAGATGTGCAACAGGACTCGTTTCTGAGCTGAGGAAAGAAGGAACGTGCTCGATATGGGAAAATAAGAAGGTAAAATGTGTCACAGAGATGTTAGTAAGAACTTCGTGAATGTTTAGAGTTGTAAAAATGTTGAACAATGTATGTGAGAATAAGTGTTGTAGCTAACTTATAGGAAGCTGAGCGTGAAAGATATTTGGTTTCTATCATACTCCATAATGTTTGTTTCACTATTTAGTTCCGACAATTTATTGAGAATGTTTGTCTGCAATAATTTATGCCATAATACTTGATCTGGTTGACCGTCATTAAAGATTATTGTGCTTTTTACAAACCTCACTGTTAGACATTCCTCTAGCGAGTCAAGCTTCAAGCGGGCTTAGCCTTTAGAGAGTCTAGCCTCTAACGATTCCAGCCTCTAACAGGTTTAGCTTGTAGCGAGTCTAGAGTTAACTAGTCTGACCTCTAGGAAGTCTTGCATCAACAATCTGGCTTCTAGCAAGTCTTCCGTATAGCGAGTCTAACATTTAGCAAGTCTTGTCAGTCTTGACTTGCTCGTTTGGTCGGCGTATGTTGGTCCACTACCGTTTGCGTTCTCATTAAGGTGCTATGAACCTCAGCACCGATAATTACTCCTTTTCTTTCAGTGTAGAAACGTCTACACACTTGATGTAGCGAACGTATTTGGTTTAAGGCACTCTGTAATTACTCCTTGCCACCTCCAACCACTCACACTCAAGATTTCCTTCCAGTTCTCACCCAATAAAATTACGGACAAGCGCTGAACTTAGCTTTCATGCTATGGCCAAATTTTGCCTCATTTGAAGAGGTGAATTTGTACATTATTGAACTTTTCGTAACCACTGTCACTTGTCACCACCGTAATTCAGTTCATTCTTCTCTTGGGAATGTACTAGCGTGATATGAAATATAATTAACATAATGAGTCATTCCTTTAGATTAATAATAATAATAATCATGTATTGTACTGCAGGACAGGCAGCCAGTGTATATGTTCATGTTTGCTAATATCGAGAACCCCCTCTCCCCTATGGTCGAATTACTGACCCTTCCCCAAGATGGAACACCACAACAAGCTAACCTAACTCCTGGGTTCCTATTTACTGCATCAGAGGCATTAGGTAATATGAAACGCTCCCCAACCATTCCTGTCCCGCACGGGATTCGAACTTGAAATTCCTGATCGAGAATAACGAAGGAACCCGAAAGTAACACCGAGAACGAGCTTTGCCGTTCGTCACTGATCAGCTGTCAACTCGTGTCTGAATTGATTTTAAATTGTTGACGTTGAAGGCTTAGTTGAAGCCCAGCCTTCAGTCTCAGAATGCTTTCTCTTTGAAGTTCTAGACATCCCAGTATTTGTGGAGTCCTGTTCTCTTGTCTCAGATGACCAAGACTTCAACGACGTTCTCTCCTCCAAGTCTTACAACCCCTTGGCCATATATAGCTCGATCAGCTGGTCTTAGGGCATTTATTTGGGGAAACTTTGACATGATTCGTTTCCTTCTTATCTTTAAAATTATTTTTGAACGTATTTATCAAAAGAAGTTTTTTTCCAAAATCATTTATAAATGTTTAAACACTGTATTCAGGTTTATATTAAATTGAAGCACTTTATCCGTGCTGTTCAGAGTATTAAACACTATATTTGTAATTTTCAGTGTTTAAAACATACGATTTTTTATCATTATTAAAAACAGATATTTATAATTAAGCATCGGAAACACACACTCACGGAATATACGGGTTCCTTACAGAATCAGATTATGACGTAAAATTTAGATAATGTTGTTAAGTCGTCGAATTATTCATATATGGTTAATGAATATGATCACTGTACTGTAAAAATATATCAATCTTGAGTGGTAAATAGAAAACATTTCTCTTTGACGAAAGTTTACCAGCATAAATTGAACCATATAATAATTTTACCCAATAAAATTATAGTACTTAAAGGAACAATTGGTCAAACGTAGAAAAATATACTTTTGTACCAAAATTGTTCATATTTTATACTATTGGAATACTCTTAATGTTATATTAGAAAGTGGAACAGTAACTTTACAACCTAACCTCTCCTAATCAAGAATAACCAAGCCTAGGCCCAGTGTAAATACATGTTGGCCATCTTAGGCCTTCATTTATTTGCTATACTTTGCTTGGGATAGTTTATATTTGATTGCTGCCACCTTTTGCGGGCCTTCTTAAAAATTAATATCACACAATATGGGAGTTTTTGGGTACAACTCTCCGTTTTTTTACATTCGACCAATAGTTGCAGTAGGTACTATTTTTGTGCGTTTCAGGTTAATTTATTTCATTTATAAGTAATTAGTATTTACTATTATAGCACACTTCACTAAAGCTTATTTTTGTGTCAACGAATTAGAATGTTATGATGTACAGAGCTTGTACTTGCTGTGTAATGAAGGTATAAATATGAAGCTTTAAAATAATTAAACCATCTTTATTGTTGGTTTACAAACATTCGTATAAATGTCAATTCGTTTTCGGGAAATGAGAATCTCTCTATGGCAAATATTTATCATGATGAAATAGATTCCAGGAAGCCAATGAAAGTTGATTAGTGATGGAAAATCTTGACGACCTGGCCATGCTGGTTTTGCACCTTGAAGACTCGGAGGTCAGGAATGGGACGGTCGAAGGGGAAGCCCATAGGACGTTTGTCAGGGTACTTCTGTCCGTGAATACCGCAGTAACTATGGGTGCTGCCATGGTCGTTAACAGTCAAGTCATCTTGGACACCATCATCTCCGCTGGTAATGATAACGTCGAGCCAGAAGTCCATGCCCTGTTCCCTGCCCTTGGGCAGCAGCAGCCTCTGTGGGTGACCACAGCTGCGACTCTCCTTGTGAGGCAGCTCAGCACCGTTGGCCACAGCCTCGTCAGCGTCGTGGATCAGTTGAGGGAAGGACACGCGATCAGGGATGGCCACAGACGACTCGGAGGACTTGCGCTTGATTTCGTTGTCTCCCGCATGCACTGCAATATGGTAACATTGGTATTAAGAAGAAATATATACAATTTATTATTATATTAATTTTATATATACAAATGTACATATTATGTAAGATAGAATGGGTTGTTGCATGAAGAGTAGGGGAAAAAGAGAACTTCATGAAAACACCGTTAACATTATAAAGTAAGATAAAGTTAAAACGAATTTGGTGCCAGTAAAACTCACCTTCAGTCCAGAAGGTGTCGAGCAAGATGGCTCCCCAGCGGGACTCGTCGATGTCGAGGGTAATGTGGTTCTCATCCTGCTTGGGGCTGATGTAGACGCGAACGGTGACTTTGTCGTCGTGCTCGGCCTGGGCGTGAATGTTGAGGGAGAATGGCTTGTGGTTCAGGCGTGATATGTGGGTTTTGACGGAAACTTCGTTAACGTTCTCTGTTGAGTCAAGAGCGTTACTCAGGTCAAACTCAAAGTCTTCAAAGAAAGTAGAGAGTTCACTAACTTCAACACCAGTGATCTTAACATTGCTGTAGAGTAAATCTTCCGCAGTGTAAGGTGGCAAGCTGTCCTTGTGCTCCTTGAAGATATTATCCATGTATTTGTGGAGTCGGAAGAATGCAGGGTCGCGGGTTGCAGTCTCGAAGTGCTCCATGACTCCTGGGGGCATGTTGAACTTGCGTTTGGGGTCAGACTGGGCACCCAAGATGCGGTGAGCTTGGTTATGTAGAGCGCCATAGTAAGCAGCATTGGTGGTATAGGTGGAAGACTCGATGATGTCACCCAAGATATCAATACCATGTTCGTTGTTAATGTCAGTTTTTGTGCCATCGGCGTTGATGATGTACCCGTGAGCAATGGCATCATGGATTCGACTTTCCAGCTCCTTCAAGTCACGAATACGGGCCACGCCTACAACATCCTCGAATTCCTTGTTGTCGGGACGAGCGGGGAACTCTCCGCCATATTTGTAAGTTGTGTGGGGAGCAAATCCATCTCTAATTGGGTGGTCCCAGTACAGTTCGTCGACTGCAGGCAGGAAGTTAGAAAGACGCTCAGCGTCGTACCTGGCTGTTAGCTGATGATGAGCCCAGAAGAAGAGCTCTCCCTTGCGGTCGATCTTAGCTCCATCCCACCAGAAGGGGAAGTCCATATGCCAGTGGACGTGGTGAGAGTTGAGGCCAACATCCTCACCGAAGTAGGCCACACGCTGTTCGCGGTTCTTTTTGCTACCAGTAAATTCCATC